TAATATCAAAATAATGTATATATATATAATAAATCAAAGAAAATTTTTTATGCATATTAAATCAAAGAATTAAAATTTACAAATACTAAATCAACATATAATCAAATTACTAAATCAAATCTATATTTCATAACATTAAACAGTAAATATATTTCAAAAATTAAAATAATACATTTAAATCAATCAAGGGATTAAAACCTATAATACTTTTGAATAATTAATTAAAATATTTATATTACATATTACAACATATTTTTTTTAGTAAAACATGACATTCTTGGCGCAACCATATTTTTATATATATTCATAACATTTTCAACTTTTAACTTATTTTCTTATCGTGAGAATGTCTAAAAACTCTATCAGCTTAAACTATGGAAATCTTTTAGGCAAATCCTAAAATGTTAATAGTATCTATAACATTTACCGATTATAATTCATTTTCTTACGCTGTATAACATTTTAGTACAATATCTTATGTTACTCCGATTGATAACTTTTTCGATTTTGATTTATAATATTTTGTGCTATACTTTTAACTTATTACATTTTTTACCGGTCATACCGTTTATTAACCTTATTTTAGGCGCGTTATAGTAGAATTTTCCGTTATAGGCAACTTGTTTTGTACGAGGCATCTCCAGTTAGTTCTGAATAATTACATGGCCGATATTGTTGCCTCATCGGACTGGGGAAACAAGAGAAGAAACTCAAGCTAAGATAGAGGGATTGCACAATGACATACTATAAGTCATATCGGATATCTAATGAATACAAAAATAAAAACTTTATCGCCGTGCGGTTGCAGACAACGATATAGAAGAATTAATAGTATCAAATTAAAAGTAATTTGTACAAATTAAAAATGATTTATACAAATTAAAAGTGATTTGTACAAATTAATTAATTATTTATTTATTTATTTTAAATAAAAAAATTTCTCTTTTAATCATTAAAAAATGTCAACGTTGGAAAGTCATTATATAAATATATAATTATTATTTACGAGATATATCTAGAGAATACTTTAAAATAATATTAAAATAATATATATTTAAAAATATTCATAAAATAATCTAGATATTTATAATATTTGATATTACATTTAAAACTATCTATAAAATATTTTCATCACTTATCAAATTAATAGCTAAAATGTTGACATGTATCATCAATATAATAAACACTAAAATTTATAAATATGAGATGAGATTTATAATTATTATTAGAGTAGTGAAGAGTGTATTGATACTGAACTTTTAATTGTAGATACTCTTTGTCAAAATTTTATGTCATTAATATATATGTGTATCTACTCTAAAAAAATATTTTTAGATTCGTTGTTGATTCGACACCACTTGTTTATCAATAATGAGAATAAAACGTATTTTATGTTGGGTTTTAAACTTGATTATTATCTCTCAATTATTTAATCCGAACTTCAAAATAAACTAATCGAATTTATATTACGTTCTAATCGAACAGATTAGCAGTGGGAATAAAAGATTACCAGTAAATAGGATTACTAGAAATGTTACATTACTGTGTTTGGTTGGTTTGGCAGGAATGTAAGATTACCGTGTTTGGTTGAAGGAATAAAATATTACTGGAATGTACTTTTGGATGGATTACTGCAACTAATTCAATTTAGAATTTGCATTACCCAGTGATGTGATCAACAAATAACATTAAAGCATAACAACATCAAAAGAAGGATCTAATTTAGTTTCCCTTCAAATCTTCCCATGATGTATATGCATAAAAGATTTAAGTAATCCAATCAAATGTTGATCAGCGAATTTCCAACACAAATCATGCAATCTCATTTGCCAGACTGCCGCCCCCTTACACCCATATCACCCTACCATTGCTGAATCAACAAGGGGCTGCGAGGTAAAGTTTATAGCTGAATATAATGACTGCTACCGTTTTTTCCTTGAATGATTCTTTAAAGATGATTTAATACCCTAATTCGGTTCATCACACCATGTGGTAACTCACCATAAATAACTACTGAGCTACCTTTGCTTCAATACCTAAAAATACAGAACTAAAATCCATTTCCACCATGACACAGTAAAAGGCTAGAAGCATCAATAACATGCAATGCAATTCTTGTAAAGAAATTTGACAAACCAAAATATTGATACGTATGACGGACAATGATATATAATTATGTGCTCAACAAAGCCACAAATTCAGTATCTTTGGCTCCACAACATGTTTTCAACTGGACATATGCAAATCATGATCAACAGACGGCAGCGGCTAACCTAAAGTTCTTGTTCATAGTGTTTAAGTTTTTCCTTGCACTCCTTTAGTTTCTATAAACCTCTTTGGGACAATGTATCATGTCAAATAAAATTAAACAACAGGTAATATCATTAAGATACCTTAGATTTTTTCCGTAATTCCAAAACAACCTGTTGTCTCTCTTCTGACCTTACTTCCATCAGCGAAATCTGATGAGTCACGAAAATATCACTCACCTTTTCCTACCACTACACAATTGTGGAAATGAAAAACCAAAGCATACACACACATAAACATGCACGTCTTTCTTTGAGTCTTGGAGGAAAGGAGGATAAAATTGCCCCTAACGAAAGAATGCTGGTTGGATTCTGTTAAAACACCTTGGATAATGATATTCTCGCTCTAGTGATTACCATGGTAATGCAAGCACAAGAATGCATATGCACACATAACAAATGCATTAGCCTACTCCTAAATGCTATCATATCCATCTTCCTACACCAGATTTCTAGAAAAATCAATTCAAAATTCCAACAATGTAGCAGACCTCTGTTTTAAGTTTTTCTTGGCCTTGAATCGATCTTTCCATTTCTTTTTTCATATGAAAACAAAACATAACTAGTAAAAAGAAAAGGAGACTACACACAAACTTGCATTGAAACAAAGTTGAGGTTGCCTGATTGTAATCATCAACAGAATCAGATGAAAGTCCTCTACCATGATCATTGCTCGTGTAGCTGCAAAATTGAAAATTAGTTTAAAAGACTTCTCATATTAACACACACACATGAAAAAATATCTAGAAACATTACTAAAACTGAAGTGATTGATCCAAGGAAAAATATTGAAGCTTAGCGCTCAGCTCATAAAGAAGAATTAATAGAGTCAACATATTATGAACTACAGGAAGACCTTAGACTGGAAACCATTGACATAAGAAAGCATATAGCAACAGCTCATGCAAAGGAAGCACAATAGAATCAGTATCAACATGTGAAGAACTCTATTACAGAAAAATTAGTGAAGAAAAACAGAAAACATTAAGTAACCAATTGGGGAGTGTTACCCATTATGTCTCTTTAGTCATTGCTCCTTGTCCTCGTCAACATTTCTATAACCGTTGATTCCAGTAGGCTCCCTATCTTGTTCCAAATTCAGCTTATGATCCTTATCTCAATCCTAAACATGCGCCCTTGAACATGATCCTCCACTTCTCTGTTGTGATCGCTATCCAATGAGTATTCTCCAGCTTTATCATGTTCATGATCCTCATATCCTCTTTCTCTTCAAGAATCATTGTCCCGAGACCGATCACGCTCTCTGGACCTATCACTATATTGATCACAATACTGTTCTCTACCATGATCTCTTTCTTTTTCCTGTCCTATAGGCCTATCCCACTCACTCCTTCTAGGGCGGTCCTGACTAAAATTTGATCTGCCCCCTCTGGTGGTCACTTCATTAACTCTCACAACTCTACCGCCAATAGTCTAGTTACAATTTCAAGTTTCAACAATGTCAAATCTCTACAAGTATCAAAACAAGAACAGAATCATTTCATGTTCCATGGAACCAACAAACAATACATTCCTTACCCCAATTGTAGTTGTAATCGCGGCACAGTTCCCAACATTTTCTGTCCAGGATCTTTATGATCTTTGGGAGCATCTTCAATACAACCTCATTTCTGTCATCATTTTCTGGACGATTCTTGTTTTCTTGTCTACCCTCTACTTTCTGACTCGCCCTCGCCCTGTTTACCTTGTCAACTTCGCTTGTTACAAACCGGAGGAATCTCCTAAATGCTCGAAAATGATGTCCATGGATCAATCACAAATGACTGGTACATTCACCGATGATAATCTTCAATTTCAGCGTAGGATCCTTGAAAGGTCAGGGCTTGGGGATTCAACATATCTTCCAGAGGCGGTACTCAACATTCCCCCTAACCCGTCAATGCATCAATCAAGAAAAAAAGCCAAGGTTGTCATGTTTGGTGCTATTGATGAGCTTTTGGCTAAGACCTCCGTAAAACCCAAAGACATTGGAATTTTGATTGTTAACTGCAGTTTGTTTAATCCGACACCATCGTTGTCTGCCATGGTTATCAACCATTACAAGCTTTGAGGGAATATTCAAAGCTACAATTTGGAAGGAATCGGTTGTTGTGCAGGGTTGATCTCAATAGATCTTGAGAAACATCTTCTTCAAGTCCATCCCAACTCCTATGCACTGGTTATCAGCATGGAGAACATACCCTTAACTGGTACTTTGGAAACGATCGCTCGAAACTTGTATCAAACTGCTTATTCAGGATGGGAGGGGCTGCAATACTGCTCTCTAACAAATGGTCTGATAAAAGAAGATCCAAATACTGCACTCATAGGGGTACAGCACGGGGAGAAGAAGATTACCAGTCAGAGGCAAGCTCACGGGAAAAGAAGGGTATTTTAGCCCTTAGCACGGGAAAGGAAAAATACCTGACACAAATATGGGACATTCCCAGGAATAAAACACTAAAATTTAGTGTTGGTATTAAAATATTACCTTCACGGGCTCTTAAAGTCTTACTAACAAAGGTAATTGCGTTTATATCCTTAATCACCGAGTATTAAAAAGTTTATTAGGCAGCTTCCTGAACCCGATCCCACTGCTCAAAACAAAAGCCAACTTTTTTAAGCAACTTTTTCAAATCGACTGTTCTTCGAAACAAGGTCGCATTTTTTTAATCTAAACTATCACAAAAAAAGAAGAAAAAAAGAGGAGAAACGAATGATGAAGGGAGAAACAGAGGTTCAGCTGTAGATCAGCAGCAGCAGAATCAATATGGAACATTCCAAGGAATGGCTAACTACCCTCCACGCCCTCCACGGCCGAACCAGCACCATCAGCAGCACCGTGGGCAAATGGGGTTTCCTCAGCTTTCTCCACCTACCTCTACCCCTCCTCAGTATTACCCCCGAGGCTATCAGACCGTGCCGGGTATAACATTAAAAAGCTTTCTTCTTTTTATTTATTTAATCGAAATGGAGGATTTTGAGACTTGGGTTTTTGTTGGATGGAATGATAATACTGTTTTTTTTAAAGATAATGATAATGTGTTTAAATATTAGGAGTTTTGTAGAAGAGGAGAAATAAATGAATAGATACATTTGCAATATTATTTGGATTTGGTTGTCCGGTGAAGGAGGGTAGGGAGATTCAAAGCATTTGCTATAGATTCTTGAGAAAGAAAAGAGACAAATATATATATATATATATAATGGCAGGGGTTAATCATGGTATTTTGACAATCCGGTCAAAATTTTCCTATAAGGATCAACCAACAACCTTGAACATGAAGGAAACTGGTGAAATTCTGTACATTTGACCAAAATGATCTTTTGATGCAAGAACAAACTTCATTTCTTGGGTTTGCTAAAATTGTGTAAAGAGTTAGAATGGTTTGCTTAATGGATATGTATAACTAGAATCAGTGTAAGATTGGTCCATTGTGAGTTCAAGTTTGGTTTCTTTTATATAATTGTGTTGACTGTTGACAACAAGTTTACATGATCTAAAATGATTGTTCACATTCAACAAAGCCAACATTTACCCATGATATCTTTGCTGTCAGGATACGTTGTCGATGGAGGAGGACCCGAAAATAGCCTACCACGCTGTGGCCTTGGTGTTGGATGGTTCCTGTAAGTTTATGGGATTTTCTTTGTTATAAGGGTTCTTTAGAAATAAAGCAAAGCATGTGCTTTAGATTTAACAACTGCGTTCGTTGATGGTATGAGGCCTCATACTATATTGGAATGAAATTTTTTATTAGGAAGAAACATATTAGTAGGATAAGTATACCATGATTAGATTGTTGAGCCGGATGTTTGCCAATTCAAAAGTAAAAACGAACATTACGGCTTAAGAATTCAACGCTGAATGAGTATCTATTTAGGCTTACGACTTAGATGGTTTTGTATTTGCTGTATGTTAAACTATACCACATTCACATTTGTACTCGAAATGGCTGGAATTTAGTGCCAATCTACTTAGCAGCCTCATGTAATACACAGGCGGAATGTTTTATCTCTTCATGTCACTGTATGTTCCAATTTCCATGACAGGGTTGTTTAGTAAAGATTGCCAGTCGCCAGATATCCCAAAATATGTAAATTGTTTAAAATGAATTCTATCGACACTTGGATGTGTACTTCTTTACTCTGCATGATATGATCTTCCACAAGTTTGCATGATCTTTATTATCATCATTTTTCTGTATTCCTAACTCCCTTGTTTAATAAGAGAATTATGCTGTTTTGAAGGTTTATCATTGGTTTCTTCCTTGGGGCCATTCCCTGGTACATTGGAGTCGTTATTTTAGCTTGTTCACCGATAGACTACCGAGAGAAACCCCAGATATGTTGCTTGCTCAATTGGCATATCTTTTTTTTTCCAGTATTTTTATTTTATTTTTCCAGTTTTATGAAAGTCATCTTGCATTGAACTGATTCTCAACTTAGCCACTTTTATATGCTTCTCATGTATTGGTACCATGCTTTACCTTCAACGCCAATATATTATCTTGTACCGACTGTTTTCTCATATAGGCTATAATTTATCACTATAGGTCACATATAAGTTAATCCACAGAGATTGAATTGTTATAAGCTTAAAATGTTATAATATTAAAAAAATGGATTTTTAAGATGCGTATTCGAGTGTCTTGGGGGTGAAGCAAAGTTCCTTCCTACTGTCGTTGTCTCTGTCCATAGGTTGACTGTTTACAAATTGTGGTCCAATTGGGTTACGGTACTTGGGGGTGAAGCAAAGTTCCAGCTATCAAAGTGTCCATTTATAATTTCATTATCAAGATTGCAAGTTCTTTGTTAACAAGTGGAATCACTTCACACTCTGTGAATGAGTGGTCCACTGGTCTGGAGGTTAGCCTTACTTGGCTCTATTCACAAAGTCTAGATGGAAAATCCTTTGTTTGTCTGTCCTTTCTATGAACTTTCCTTTCCGTCTATTTTCATTCATTATCGAAGATCTGTCCTCTTCATTTTTCTCGAAGGACTCATGCCCTATACATATGTAGGCATAGGTGTGAGATACGGTTCTATGAGGACCCTTAAAACACGTAATAGAATCTAACTTACCCGTATCAGACATAGACACGCATTCAATTAACCTAGAGCATGCATAACGGTCTCCGGTCCATTCTTTTAGTGTAGGGTTGGCCTAGTAGCTCGAACTTCAGGTTCTGATCCAACCTTATAAGACTTCTTTCTTTTTAGATTGTGTCAGGGGCAGTTTTAGACGAAATCAGTCTGTTTTGGGACATAATATAAACTATTGAGTGAGTCGGGTTTCAAATATTGCTTCTTTTCGATCTCGATCCCTACTTGTCCAAGGGATCCATTGAAACCCATGTTTAACGACTGTGGTGCTTTTTGCTGGCCGTAATTGCGACAATTGCACTTCTTGTTGGTCTAGTAACGAAATAATGGTAGAGCAAAGTTCGTTCTTGTGACTGAGAGATGTATAGGTTTCAAAATAATGTATATGCTATGCCCCTTTTTTCAGTAAGTTAACTTTTTTTTGTTGTTGATAATTTGGTACAAACAATTCGTATCGAGTTATGGATAATAATAATTGATGAGGTTAAAACTCCTTCAACTCTTTGGATGCAAGTGATTTTGGGTTCGGATTTTATCGAATAATTTATATTTTTAGATCATTGAATTTAAATTCATCGACTATTAAAAGTTACAAAATAATATTCTGATTATAGAGTGTTGTTTTGTTGAGTTATTCGACTATTAAAAGTTATGAAATGGTCACTCAATTAATTATGTTTCAAATTTGTCATTTTTCGTGAAAAATTGATGATATTCTAAGTTAAATGTTAATATGTTGAATGTAATACAATAAAATATGATCAAGAATTTCAAATGAATACATATCTTAGTTATCATGTTAACGCTAAATTTAGACAATTGTTATTTTTTTAACAAAAAAAAATGAATTTGAAATATAATGAATAGTTAGATGATTATTTTATAATTTTTAATAGTTGAGAGATTTAATAAAATAATATTCTATAATTATGGACCATTTGTGTACTTTTTCCAAAAATAAAACTTTTTTATTAAACAAATAACTGTTGTCTTAGGAGAAGTTGTGGTCACCACGCCTCGTGCTTTTAACACCGCTAGTCTTTCTTATCACGTGTAACAATCACCGAGGCTGATTTTGATTTTTCACAATTTTAGTCTACATTTTTGTGCGTAAAATATACCTACTTCATTCTATTATTATTTCAATTATAAATGAATGGCTTTTAAAAAATATATATAATTTAATTATTTAATTAAAATACTATTATATTAATTACATATTTTAGATAAGATAACTATATAATATGATATAATAACATATTTAATTTCAAAATTTATACATTATATTAATTTGAGTTTAATTCTAAATAATTTAATAAATTTATCCAATCATACTAATAGATATATTTATTCTCTTAAAGTTCTTCTTACTCTTCTAAAATATGTTATAATACCATTTTAATATATAATAATTCGTTGTTGTTTTTTATAATCACAGGTTTTCGGTTTATTAATCGACTAATCCAGATTAGGTATTACAGAGACGAGAATGACCCTCATAACCTAGTTTGCTCCATTTGTAACTACAATGATTCGAACTTTTAACATTTGCTTAAAGATCTAGTATCTCATCCCATTAGATCAACTTGTTGTTAGTATAATTCGTTGTTGTTTTTATTATAGAATGTATTTGTCTAACTACTTCTTTGGATAGATAAACTCATTTGGATTTATAATATCATAAAATTAAACTAAATTGATAAAATTTTGAAATATGAATTGTTAAAATTATTAAATTATTTCAAATTAGGATCAAATCGATAGAATGTATAAATTTAAAAGGTTAAATATTTGATCATCCAAATTAGGCGTTTATTTTAATGTTAATGACAATTAAATTTTTAAATAATATTATAATTAAGTAATTAAGTTGTAATTTTTTAAATAGGTAATATATTTGTAATTGAACTAGTAATTGAGTGACCTAGTGTGTATTTTACCCTTTTTGCATGAAGCTCTAATCTTTGTCTATTCTTTGTAATCATCTTTAAAAAAAAAACATCAAGTGGCAAATTTTGATCATTATCATATCTATCTCTTAAAAATGCTTATAAAAGAGAGGCCTTAGCTTCATAAACACCTCAAATTTGCACACACCATTTCTTATACTGAAACAGGGGAAAAACATGGAAGCGCACCTTGTAATAACAAGAGATTTGCTTTGTTTTCTCGTTGTTGGGTTGTTGATGATATGGGGATGGAGGGTTTTGAAGTGGGCATGGCTGACCCCAAAGAGGTTCGAACGGTGCTTGAGACAACAGGGTCTCAGAGGAACCACTTACGGTTCTTTGTCTGGGGACATCAAACAGATGTTTGCTATGAGCAGACAAACCAGAGCCAAACCTATGACTCTTGGTGATGATATTGAGCCTTATGTTACTCCTTTTCTTCATCAATTTCTCCAGAAATATGGTGCGTTTTAGATTAATCTGCAATTTCATGGTATCAGAAACTTGTTTATATATTAAAAGTCTGGATTTGTTGCGAGAAAATGCAGGAAAGGATTCGTTTTTGTGGGTTGGTCCATGGCCGAGGGTGACAATTATGGACCCTGAGAAAATAAAGGAAATATTCACCAAATTCACCGACTTCCAGAAGGTGCATACCAATCCGCTGGCGAATCTGATTGCGAGTGGCCTTGCAAGCCTCGAGGGAGACCATTGGAGTAAGCATAGAAAGATAATAAACCCTGCCTTTCATCAAGATAAGTTGAAGGTATGTTTAGAGAAAAGAGAGAATCTAGATAAGGTCATGATGTTTAGTTCGAGACACGTTTTTTTGTCTGATTTTTGAAGATAATTGCAGAACATGTCGCCAGCGTTTTATCGAAGTTGTAGTGAGATGATAAGCAAATGGGAGAAGATTGTGTCTACAGAAGGTTGCAGTGAGGTAGATGCATGGCCTTATCTTGTGACCATGACAAGAGACGCCATTTCCCGATCTGCATTCGGAAGCAGCTTCGAAGAAGGCAGACGAATTTTCGAACTATTGGATGACCAAATCATTGTCTTTCTCAAAATCATACAGTCTGTTTACATCCCAGGATGGAGGTAAAAGTTTTCGAGTTTTAAGAAAAGGGTTATAGATCTTAGGATTCGAATCTCTGACTAAATTTTGTGCTTCTTTGCAAAGGTTTTTGCCGACGAAGACGAACAGGGAGCTTAAGTTGAAATACAATGATATAAAGGAGTCGCTTAGGGAAATGATAAAGAGAAGGGAGAAGGCAATTAGAGCAGGTGAAAAGAGTAATGACGACTTGTTGGACATACTTGTGGAATCCAACATCAGAGAAATCGAAGCAAATGCAGATAGGAAGAACATGGGGATGAACATCGATGATGTGATCGAGGAATGCAAGCTGTTTTACTTCGCCGGCCAAGAGACCACCTCGACTTTACTGGTTTGGACTATGATTTTGTTGGCTAGGTATCCCGATTGGCAGACTAAAGCAAGGGAGGAGGTTTTGCACGTGTTTGGTGAGAATAAACCAGATGCTGATGGCCTTAATCGTCTCAAAGTTGTAAGTCCCTTGTCCTGAATTCTCTCATTGTTATTGGTTCATGTATATAAACAGGGTTGATTACACTAAACGTCCTAAATTATGGTGCAGGTAACAATGATATTGTACGAGGTTCTAAGGCTATATCCGGCAGTGGTTGAGCTAGGACGCTCCGTCCCGAAAGAATTAAAACTGGGAAAACTGTTGTTGCCTGCTGGAACCGAAGTCTCGGTTCCGATACTGCAGATCCACCACAACAAAGAGCTGTGGGGCGACGACGCTCATGAATTCAAACCCGAGAGATTCGCGGAAGGAGTCTCGAAAGCAACGAAGGGTCGAGTGATGTTTCTCCCATTCGGATGGGGTCCTAGGATCTGCATTGGCCAAAACTTTGCCATGATGGAAGCGAAGATGGCGATGGCAATGATTCTCAAACGCTTCTGGTTCGAGATTTCCCCATCTTATGCTCACTCTCCTTATAGCTTTGTAACTCTTCGTCCACAGCATGGTGCACAAATAATTTTACATCGACTCCAGTCCGATTGAATTGTTCTGTGAACAAATCTTACTGCTCATACCATGTGTTCCCCAATCCCTAATGCATTTCAAGTTTTAAATAAATATGGATTTACTTATCACTTACTTTTATATATATATATATATATATATATATATATATTGTTCAAAAGAATTTGAACTGTCTTGTAATCATTTTAAATTTTTGGAAAGAAATAATCGAATTATCGATAAATTATAAATTAATTTTTTTTCACGCCTATCTTGATAACTCAAGTTTAAAAAATTCTATTTACTCATTAAATTTTTAATTTATTCTTACTTTGATTACTCGGGTGTTAAATTATAAATAAAAGAATGACACCATAATCACGTGTATTGATGTGAATTAATTTTTATTCTCATGAAATCTATTTTTCATTTTCATCATTTTTTTTTTATTTTTCTAT